ATGCTGGTGGCCCGGGTTCGGATCCCGGGCACGCACCGAGGCACCACTTCTCTGTCCATCCTGAGGCCGAGTCCCACATACAGCAACTAGAAGGATGTGCAGCTATGGCATACAACTATCTACTGGGGCTTTGGGGGGAAAAAATAAATAAATAAAATCTTTAAAAAAAAAAAAAGTGGAATGAGTTTGTTATGTGGACATTGATAACTGTCAAATTATGCATGTCTAATGAACACATCAGTGCTCTTAGGGTTCCTCAAGGATCTAAATCAGTGCTGCTCAGACTTTAAATCATTTGCCGATGTTGAAAGGCAGATTTTGATCCGTAGGACTGGGGTGGGGCCTGAGATTCTAAATTTCTGATAAGCTCCAGGTAATGGTGATGCTACTGGTTCTCCCACAGCGCCTTGAATAACAAAGATCTAAATTTCTGTCATTCAGAATGGCAGCCACTAGTCATGTGTGGCGATTCAAATTTAAATTAATTAAAATAAAGTAAAATAGAAAATTTAGTTCCTAAGTCTCACTAGCTATATTTCAAGTGCTCAGTAGCCATATATGGCTTCCATCTTGGAAAGCTCAGATTATAGAACATTTCTGTCATTATGGAAAGTTCTGTTGGACAGCGTTGACCTAAATCTTCAATATCTTAAAGTAAAGGGGATTTTTATCTCTTTTTCTGTCGAGTTGTTTGAAATATACAATTAAGAGCTTGTTCCATTCCTTTGTAGTCACAAATCTTATAGGTATACATTGGTATAGAAGACATAGAAAAGATAAAGCAATGAACAATTTTGTATAATTAAAGTGTTTGATAAATGGAATTCTCTTCCCATTGACTTTATTGTCAGTCCATAGATGTGTTATCTTAATTATTTGTTGTCTCTCCATGGGCAATCATTTCTAATAAATTGGTTTCAGTTTCTTTGCCAATTTTTTTCTTTTCTGACATTATTAATGTATACGAGCGGAGATACTGTTTAAAGAAGTATTGCAATAATTTAAAACATAGGTGTGTATACTTTGTGAAAAAAATATTCATTATCCCCCCAGTCTAGCTGTTTCATCTCTTTTTAAAGTGTATTCTTGAAGCAGGATCAACCTGTGTTAGTACTAACAAAGGAGATGGGTGTTGATCTTCAATGACTGAAAGTTCCCCAGATGATTTGTTTTTCTTTACTTCTGTGAAGTGGAATCACTGACTGTTGTCGTTTTCCTCCAGGAATTTATGCAAATATTCTCACGATGTCCTCTCAGAAGATAACTTTAGAATCCTGAAAAATCATGAGCTCTCTGGTCTCAACAAAGAGGAATTAGCAGTGCTCCTCGTCCAAAGTGACCCTTTTTTTATGCCTGAGGTAAGTTATGATTTCTTAGTTTAAAAAGCAGGGAGAATATTATTGGCAGTGTTATGTCACGGATGTGCTGGAGTAGGAGCAGAAAAATTCATAAGTTAACATCAGGGCGTTAACATCAGGGCTCTGCAGGTGGCAGTCAGGGCTCTTGCTGAGTGAACCAAGAGATTCCAGCAATTGCCTTCCTATTTGAAGTTTTATAAGAATATGAGTCTGGAATGCTTTCATCTCTAGGGTGCTAGGGAATCCTTTGTGAGCAAGTGTGATCTGGAGATATAGTAGTGGGACTTATTCATGCTTTACATCAGGGTGGCCTCCTGGAAGAGATGGGCTTTGAATTGAGGCTTTGGAAGATGACAGGGTATATTGGTTGAGGGTACAGGCTAAGCTGTAACAAAGAGACCCCAGAACATATTCAAATAAAATACAATTTTGTTTCTCTTTCACTTGATGGACTAGATCGGGGGTCATTAAACTACAGCCCATGGTCCAAATCTGGCCTGCTACCTGTTTTTGTAAATAAACTTTTATTGGAACACAGCCATATCCATTCATTTACATATTGTCTGTTGCTGCTTTCTTGATAGGAGGGTGAGTTGAGTAGTTGCACCAGAGATCAAGTAGCCTGCAAAGCCTAAGGTATTTACTATCTGGTCCTTTACAGAAAAAATTTGCTGACTTTTGGTCTTGTCTAGATGTAGGTAGGCAGGTAGCTGGGTGGTCAGGCAGCGGGACTCCACGTCGTCGTGCAGGGACTCAGGCCAGGAGGTCAGCTCTGTTGTCTGATATATAATATACCTGTTATATTACCGGACTCAGGGCAGTAGATAATCTCTGTTCTCTTTCAACATGTGGCTTCCATCTCTAGGTACAACGAGGCTGTTCTCATTGCCACCATTTTCTAGTTGGCAGGAATGTGGAGAGGAAGTAAGTGGAAGGCACGCAGTTTCCTTTTTAAAAGATGCGACCTGGACATGATATACAGCGCATCTGCTCCCATCTCATTGGCCAAAGCTTATCGTATGGTCACACTTAGCTGGAAGGGAGGCTGGGAAATGTAGTTTCTGGCTGGGTAACCATGTGTCCGGCTAAAACTTGGGAGCTCCTATTACTAGAAGAAGGTAGGGACAATGGCGGATAATTAACAGTCTCATCCATACAGGAAATATTGACTTAGAATCAGAGGATGCTGTTTAGGGCCGGCCCCGTGGCTTAGCGGTTAAGTACGTGCGCTCCACTACTGGCGGCCCGGGTTCGGATCCTGGGCGCGCACTGACGCACCACTTCTCCGGCCATGCTGAGGCCGCGTCCCACATACAGCAACTAGAAGGATGTGCAACTATGACATACAACTATCTACTGGGGCTTTGGGGAGAAAAAAGGAGGAGGATTGGCAATAGATGTTAGCTCAGAGCTGGTCTTCCTCAGCAAAATGAGGAGGATTAGCGTGGATGTTAGCTCAGGGCTGATCTTCCTCACCAAAAAAAAAAAAAAAAAAAGGATGCTGTTTAAAGATTGGTATCTAACCTGAGAAAAATCCTTGAGTAGAGAAGTTAGCCTCACACTGAAAGAGACACAGAAGCATAATGGAAGGCCCAAATGGAGTGAGTGGAAGAGAAGGAGATAAGATAAGCAAGGTTGAAATTCGGATGCTCTTTGATATGTGACAAGATAGCTATTAGGGACCACTGGTTAAACACGTTTTGGCTCTAAGCTCAGTGTATTTCCCTGAGGACTTAAAAAACTTAGGACAAGAGGTGTGATTTTGAGTTTACCATTGAGCTCAGGAGAGGTAGGAATGCAAGGCACTCTACATGAATGTGTTCAGGGAGGGGGAGGAGAGGAGGAAAATATATCCCATTTCCTCTCCCCACCCCATGCATTCTTTCCTCCAGGTTCTTGGATTTGTCTCTCTGTCTCTGTTTCCAGGAGCCCAAGGTTTAGAGGTCTTGTCTTGGGATATCTATGACCCTTGGCCTATGTGCCAGCCCAGTCCCCCATGGCTACCAGCACAAGGAAATGCCTTATACCCCAACCTCATTAAAGGTCCCATTGACAGGCAGAGAACCCCTCCTTTTCCCTTTGTGTGAAGGAACAATGAGTTGAAGACTTGTTATGACACTTGAGACGTGTGTTGACCCGCAGTCTAGTGTTATTAAACTTGGAGGCTTGGAAAGGTCGCTCATCAGGTCTGAACTCTGCTTCAGTCCTGTGAGAGCACAAAAGCATCAGGCAAACTTGACTTCCTGGTATAAAAATTAAAATGTGCTTATTAAAGGAGGAAATACTTTCCTTCGTTCTGGCCTGATTAAGGCAGGAGCATTCTTACTTAAACATCAGTATGGTAATAGGAATCTTAACCAGAGCATCGTTTGTGAAGTTGCTAATTCTTCTTTTGTTTTCTTTTGAATGAGCCTCTAGGACACTGGTTCTCAAGCTTTAGTGTGCATCAGAATCATCTGGAGAGTTTGTTAAAATAGAGATTGCAGGGCCCCACCTGTGGTGGTCCTGACTGTAGAGATGGGGAAGGGCCTGAGGATCGGCATTTCTCAGTTTCCAAGTGGAGCTGATGCTGCTGGTCCAGGGACCACACTTTGGGAACTGCTGGTCTAGAGTCTAGAATCTGGATAACAGGCCCTAGAGCAGTGACATGTATTTGAATCAGGTTTTAGAAGTTGGTTCTGTGGCTAAATTGTTGTTGAGAGTCCACATCTTTGCCACCTAGATAAGTCACAGTGAACCATGTTGATCTGGGTTGCTCAGAGCCTACTGAAACAACTTAGAAATGTTTTAATCGTTAAGATTCTCTGTGTAATGATTCAAACATTTGCATCACATTTTATATTTTGTACAACACATTCACATATTTTATTAATTGTCTCAACAACTTGGTTTAGGTAGACAGAGCAAATATTTTCCTACTTTACAGCAAAGGAAACAGAGGCTGAGAGTAAATAAGTAATTCAGATGAGGTCACATAGCTGTTTCAGGGCTGCAGACTTTTAAACCAGCGTCTTCTGTTCTGCATAATATGGTCTGGCCTCAGTGACAGTATTTTTTCTGCTCCTTTCAGTAAGAACCACATCTTTGTAGAGCTAGATATGTAAATATATCTATTTACATAGAAATATAAAAATTATCTTTAGTTGATCTTTTGAAAAACTTTGCCACATTCTGCCTAGCAGAGACTAGATTCTGAATTCCCAACAGTTACAAGTAAGACCCACATGTCCCTTAAATTGCAGAATGAGTTGATATCCAAAAATAGCCCTTCCTCATTGGCACAGATGTTAACTCGGGGCGGATAATCCTCAGGAAAAAAAAAAAAAGGGGGGCCTTCCTCTTTGGGGTTCATTTGTAACGTGGGGCTCACTTTGGGTCCTGTTTGGGCCTATCTGTAGCTGGCCATCTTATTTTGATTCTTCCAAAGGGTTATAAAATTCGTAGTTCTTTTAGTTAGTGTGCAGGCCTCTTCTGCCCCGAATAAATCATCAATTGAATACAACCTGTCAAAGATTGTGGAATACACACACGTTTTTTTCTCTGGTTTATCTCTGCTTGCCTCTGAAATATTTGTATACTTAAACTTTCCTTAATGACTGTGTGGCAGACCCAGGAAGGTGTTTTGTCTCTGCTGTGGTTTCTCTCTTCTGTAGATATGCAAAGGTTATAAGGGAGAGGGGCGAAGACAGATTTGCAACCAGCAGCCACCGTGTGAAAGGCTCCACATCTGCGAGCACTTTACCCGAGGGAATTGCGGTTATGCCAACTGCCTCAGGTCCCATAACCTGATGGACAGAAAGGTGCTGGCAATCATGAGGGAACATGGACTGAGCCGGGACGTGGTCCAGAACATTCAGGACATCTGTAACAGCAAGCACAGCCGAAAGAAACCCCCTGGGTTGAGAGGTAAATGCTTTCTACTTTTTTTGTGTGTGTGTGATGAAGATCGGCCCTGAGCTAACATCTGCCAATCCTCCTCTTTTTTTTGCTGAGGAAGACTCACCCTGGGCTAACATCTGTGCCCATCTTCCTCCACTTTATATGGGACGCCGACACAGCATGGCTTGCCAAGTGGTGCGTTGGTGCGCGCCTGGGATCCGAACCGGCGAACCCCAGGCCACCGCAGCGGAGCACGTGCTCTTAACCACTTGTGCCACCGGGCCGCTCCCTGCTTTCTACTTTTTAATTACCAGAATAAACAGAAGTAAACAGAAATCACAAGGAAAGAAGAACTTTACCTATAATCACTCTACCTCACCACATAAAACGCTCTTTAGTTTTCTTTCAGACCTTGTCCATATGCATACACAATTTTTGCATAATTATAATCATAGTATATATGCGATTTTGAAATTTGATTTTCACGCTAAGCACTATTCCCCCTCCACCAGGTTTTTTAAAATGTTTATCATTTTTCTAAAAGCTAATTGATAAAGCTTTTTTTTTTTTTAGTGAGGGAGATTGGCCCTGAGCTAACATCTCTTGCCAATCTTCCTCTTTTTGCTTAAGGAAGATTGTCCCTGAGCTAACATCTGTGCCAGTCTTCCTCTATTTTGTATGTGGGGTGCCATTACAGCGTGGCTTGATGAGTGGTGTAGGTCTGTGCCCAGGATCCGAACCTGCAAAGCCAGGCTGCTGAAGTGGAGCGTGCCGAACTTAACCACTGTGCCACTGGGCCGGCCCCTGATAAAGCTTTTTTTTAAGAGAAAAAAAGAACATAGAATTTGTTTAGATTCACCAGTTATAACATTTTGTCACAGTTTTTTATTGCTTCCTCTCGATATATGTGTGCATGTAGATACCCACACACACATATAACATTTCTGTGGTTAAAGCTTTTGAGGTGTGCAGTCATCAAGAGACTTCACACCTAAATATCAGCATATAGCTCCTCAAAACAAGGCCATTCTCTTACATAACCACAATACAAATTAATACAGGAAACAACATTAATGCAAAACCATACACAATTTAATTTACAGTCCTTGGTACTATTTCTTTAAAAATTTATTTTTGTTTTTTAAATTGTGGTAAAATATAACATAAAATTGGCCATTTTAACCATTTTGAAGTGTATCGTTCAGTGGTATTAAGTACGTTCACATTGTTGTGCAACCATCACCATCATCCATCTCCAGAACTTTTTCATCTTACCAAACTGAAACTCTGTACCCATTAAACAATATCCTCATTCCCTCCTCCCCTAGCCCCTGGCAACCACCATTCTACTTTCTGTCTCTGAATTTGACCACTCTAACAACCTCATAGAATTGGAATCATATAGTATTTGTGTTTTTGTGACTTGCTTCTTTCACTTAATATAATGTCCTCAAAGTTCATCCATGTTGTAGCCTGTGTGAGAATCTCCTTTCTTTTTAAGGCTGAATAATATTCCACTGCATGTATAAACCACATTTTTTTTACCCATTCGTGGATAAACAATGACATCCAAGAATGGATGGATACTTCTACCTTTTGGCTATTGTGAATAATGCTGTTACGATCATGCGTGTACAGATATCTCTTTGAAACCCTGCTTTCAGTTCTTTTGGGTATATGCCCAGAAGGGGAATTGCTGGATCACATAGTAATTCCATGTTTAATTTTTTGAGGAACCGCCATACCATTGTCCACAGTGGCTGCACCATTTTACATTCCTACCAGCAATGCATGTGGGATCCGACTTCTCCACCTCTTTGCCCACACTTGTTATTTTCTGTTTTTCGGATGATAGCCATCCTAATGGGTGTGAAATGATCAGTACTATTTTTTAAGCATTTTCATATTGTTTCATGATATTAACACTTGCAATTTTTTTTTTTTTAAAGATTTTATTTATTTCTTTTTCCCCCCAAAGCCACCGCAGTTAGTTGTATATCATAGCTGCACATCCCTCCAGTTGCTGCATGTGGGACACGGCCCCAGCATGGCCGGAGAAGCGGTGCGTCGGTGCGCGCCCGGGACCCGAACCCGGGCCGCCAGCAGTGGAGCGCACGCACCCAACCGCTAAGCCACGGGGCCAGCCCCTAACACTTGCAATTTTTAATGTCTTTATGAGGTGGATGTAGTAGAGGTGAATTTTATGAAGCAAATAGAATACATAATTCTAAGATTCTATAAGAGGTAATAAACAGTTACATCTCCTTAGATTTGAGAAATGCTTTATAGTTTACAAGGGACTTTGACCTACAATATCTCATCGTTGTTCCTCATAGCAAAAGCATGAAGAAAGGCAAGTGTATTATTAGTCTCACTTAATGGATAAGGAAACTGACACTCAGAAATTTTAAGTGACGTTTATTGCAACCTCAAGTCATTTTTAGAAGAATGAAGGGTAATACTATGAATAAGTAAAATTATGTTTTTTAGGCATCACACCACTAGAGAGTAGCAGGGCTCATGTGTTCTGATTCCACATCAAATGCTTTTTCTCCCATTTTCCATCCCACAATGCTCTCTGAAAGGGGAACATCTGGAGGGATGGTTTTTGATGTAGTTTCCCAGTATAAGTTTATTGTATATGAGAGAAATCTTTATTTGTTATCACTAATAGTTAATCTACTTAGTTAACAGGATGATGTTTGTTTTTTCTATATTCCTGCTGCCCCCTGCGTTTGGAAGAGAAAAGACCTCTCTTCCTCCCCTTCCCCACACACAGTAACACAACTCACACACCACACATATACACACTCCACACACATGCATACACAACACACATACCATATATATACATACATATCACATGCATGCACACACCTCACCTATATCACACACGTGCATACCACATGCTTCACACGTGCACGTGCCACACACAGACATGTGCATTCACACTACACACACACATTTCACATACTCAGGTGCCCTGCACACACCACACACGCATGTCTCACCTATGGACACACCTCAAACACCAAGTATATATCACACATGTATGCACCTCTCTCTCACACACACATACACCACACATGCACATCTTACAAACACACACACACACCCAGCACAGCACACAGACCACACATAAACATCACACACATCTATGCCACATACACACACAAACACACACGCTCACTCCCTCCCTCCTCTCTGCTTCCTGGGAGGTGTGATTTCTAGTTTCTAGAAAGAGGCCAATTCTTTTTGATATTACTCACTTAAGCTTGGGCAATTGAGGGCTAGATGAAGAAGTCTGGAAAAATTTCTAGGTTAAATGAAATCAGACCTTTAGACCATAGTTTCATTTTTTGTTTGTTTTAAGGATTGTGAATCCTTAACTTCCTAGGTACACCTGTATCCCAATATGGACAAAATCTAAGTGATTTTTGGAAAATTCTCCCTGATTTGCGCTAGTCTGTCTCTCCATTCCCCATAGCGGTGACTGTTGACGTGAACCAGGGGATGGTGGACAGCCCCACTTGAGAGTTTAGGGGTTTGGGGGCTACATCTGAGTCCCAGGAGAGAAACCAAGAAAAGCCAGGGTCAGTCTGACTCTTCTCCTAGGCCATGGGATGGTGTCTTCTGCTGTGCTAGCAGAATGGCAGGATTCCTTCATCGTTGTAACCACCTTTCTCAAGATTTTTACACACTAGATTAGGACAAGTAATTTGTTAGAATTTGGACAGCAAACCTGGAAGAGCTGAGGAGGAACAGAGGTAAGAACTCAATCATGTTGACACTCCTTTTCGTTGTTTTGTTTTTCTCTTCCCAGGTCCTGCCTCATATCGTAGAGATACAGCATACAGAGGTAGAAGCAAGAGTAGAGACCGATTAGTTGACAGCAGTCTAGAGTTTCTTCCATCTGCTTCAGCTTCTACTGAGAGGTCCTGCACTCCCAGTCCAGATCAAATCAGCTGCAAGGCTTCCCTGGATGATGTGCCTGTAGAGGATCTCACCCACAAGTTCACGCATTTGGGAAGTCAGGATTGCCCTCAGCCTGCCTCAGTCTCACTTAAGTCTTCCAGTCTTGGAGGAGCAGGTCAAGTGGGAGGAAACCAGAGGTTTTCAGAGAATGGGAGTGCAGAGGGTCTCTTTTCTGGGAATCGAGGCAGCACCTACCTCACTTCTGATTCAACACCAGCTTCCATCTGGAAGGGCCCCACATCCCAGCTGACTAACGAAAACATCAGTACAGAGATTTTGTTTTCTCGGAGTCAAGCTGCCTCACGCTCTCCTCTTGGTTCTCCACAAATACCAGAAATCATAACCACCAGAAAGAGCACGGGCGTGTTTTCCTGGGATGACAAGGGCAGAAGTGGGGGTCAAGATGTCCAGCATTTCCCACTTTTTAATAATAATGTTGATGGAATGGCCACAGATGTAACTTCCACGACATCTTTCAATTACAAAACCACAACCAGCGGACAGAGAGCAAAATCATTATCTAGGAATCAAGACACTGGAACTACTCACAGTAATCTCCAGACCCCTGGCAAAATTACAGATGACTATGATTCAGGAGTGTTATCTGTTAGCGATAAATATAGAGATACGATATTTTGGGCTAATAAATCTGTCCGTAACACGCCAAATGGCTCTAGTAAAGTTACAGATAAAACTAGTGATATAGATAGAACTGGTGCCACTGGTTTTGGCTTAACATCAGCAGTGAGAGGGGATAAAGACGTGTTAGGCTCTGGAAGTCAGAGTCTGAGAACCCAGGTCCTGTCCACACCTGGGAAGACCACTGCCCCTGTGCAAGTCAGCACTCTGCCCAAGGTGCCACCTTCTACACCTTCTTCAAGCAACAGAGCTGCAGCCTATGGGACCCATGGTCAGAACTCTGCCAAAATCACTGTTACTCCTGCTAATGAGCTTACAAGGAGGACCCCAGGCTGTGCTCCAAGTAAGTCACTGACGGACAAAGGGCGCCCCATGTCTTGTGTTTACAGCAGAGCGGCTGTGGCTGGTGATTTCTCTTTGAATGTTCCCCGGGTAGTTATTAAAGGGCATAGAGTAAGAGGGTTTTGGTTAAGGGGTGGTAGTGGTGCAGAGACTGACATGCAGATGGAGGGACCAACCAGTAGAACCATAGGGAATAAGCTGCTGCATTTATTGAGAACATGAATAGTTTGACCATGGTTTAAGAAAGAAGCATAACTCTCATGTAACCGTTAATGTTCATGTTTGCTTGAGGCACTGTCTAGGCCTTCATGAATAACACCTGAATCATAGGAATTTTCTTGAACATGGCCCCAGTTTCAGATATTCCTTCCCCTTGTGAGACAGGTATCTTGATTTTTGGCTTAAACATTAAAATCAGCATACATGGATCCTCTTTTGTTTTATAGATTCTGTATCTGATGTTGCAAGTACCACATCTTCCAGGATGGATGATCATGGCTCACAGGAAATTTGTCTTGACCATCTGTATAAGGGTTGTCAACTTGGTGAGTAACTTAAGGACTTTCTAGAAATAGAAACTTTATTAATAGTAGTATGGTTAACATTTACTAAGTGTTGACTATTTGTCAGGCCCAATACTAAGAACCTTACATGCATCTTATTTAAACTTCACGTCAACCCTAGAAGTAGGGGCTATAAAATGAGTTAACTCATTTTATAGATGTGGAAACTGGAGGCATAGAGGGGTTAAGACCTCACCTACACAAGTAGCCAAGTTGGATTTTGACCCTCAATTGCCTGGCCAGCCTGTGTTCTTCACTACTGCATATAATACTTTCTCCTTTTGCAATTCAGTTTTAGGTGAAATATTACATTTAATCAGGGACCCATCTTTTCATATACTAAAAGCAAACAACAAAAGATTCCACAAGACAAAAGTATCCTAGCAGACACATTTTCAAAGTTGATTTCCTGTCATTTAGGCATTGTCTCTCTTCTGGGCTGTGGGCTCTTTGCCATCGCTCCTCCCGTGTGTACCGAAGAGACCTGTGCTCCACATGACTGATGACCTGTGTGTCATTCCAGTAGAGGAGCCACACCTGTTTACTCTCCCCTCCTACCAGGCTTCCTGTAGAAATATTTCCACGGGACTGTGCTTGGGACAAATTGCTGTGCTCTCACCGTTCTACCACGGGCTCACTTTTCTACCTCTGTCCCAGGCCTGGGTATCACGTCTGACTTCATGTGCTTGATCACTTAGTGGTCTGAGATTCATTTGCCTTTTGTCTGAAGAGGAGGATTCTGCCCTGTGTTCTCTAAATCAAAAGCCATTAACTTAAAAAAAAATTGTTTTTCTTTTTAATTGTTGTAAGATACACATAATGTAGATTTTACCATCTTAATCATTTTTAAGTGTACAGTTGAGTAGTGTTATTTACATTCATATTGTTGTGCAGCCAATCTCCAGAACTCTTTTCATCTTGCAAAACTGAAACTCTGCACCCATTCAGCAACAACTCCTCATTTCCTCCTCCTCCTGGCTGCCACCCTTCTAATTTCTGTTTCTATGAAAATGACTACTCTACGTCCCTCATATAAATGGAATCACACAGTATTTGTCTTTTGTGTGTGTGTGTGACACTGGCTTATTTCACTTAGCATAATGTCCTCATGGTTCATCCATGTTGTAGCATGTGTAAGACTTCCTTCCTTTTTAAGGCTGAATAATATTCCACCCTACGTATATACCACATTTTATTTATCCATTGATCCATCAATGGACATGAGTTGCTTCTACCTTTTGGCTATTATGAATAATGCCGCTATGAACATGAGTGTGCCAATATCTGCTCAAGACCTTGCTTTAAATTCTTCTGGGTATATACCCAGAAGTGGAATTGCTGGTTTATATGGTAATTCTATGTTTAATTTTTTTTTTTTTTTTTTTTGTGAGGAGATCAGCCCTGTGCTAATATCTGCCAATCCTCCTCTTTTTTTTTGCTGAGGAAGACTGGCCCTGGGCTAACATCTGTGCCCATCTTCCTCCACTTTATATGGGACACGGCCACAGCATGGCCTACCAAGCAGTGCATCGGTGCACGCCCAGGATCCGAACCGGCAAACCCCGGGCCACCGCAGTGGAGTGCACACACTTAACCGCTTGTGCCACCAGGCCGGCCCCATGTTTAATTTTTTGAGGAACTGCCATACCATTTTGCACAGCAGCTGCACCATTTTACATTTTCACCAGCAGTGTACAAGGGTTCCAGTTTCTCTACATCCTCACCAACACTTGTTATTTTCTGGGTTTTTTTTGTTTTTGTTTTTCTTTATAGCAGCCATTCTAATGGGTGTGAGGTATGGACTATATCGAATGGCTGTCTACCTTCGAATCAGCCAGATCTCAGGCAGTGCCACTCTGTGAGTTTCCCTGTAATGTCTAAACCTGCCTCTTTTTGTTTTAAAGTAGTCACACATCTTTTGGATATTTCAAAATGATTTAAACATAACATAATGTAACTTGTGAAAAACAGAACTATTTTCTGTTTTCCTGTATTGTGGGCTTATAACATTAACTCATTTTTCAGCAAACATTCATTTAATGGCCCTCTTTTGCACGACTAACCCTATGCCAGTCCTGCAAGGGAGATGTAAGCTAAACAGTGATGCAAGCTTTTCTTCAATGAGTTTGTAATTAATGTGCGGCATCAAAACATCCACAAATGAGGGCCAGCCGGCCCAGTGGTGTAGTGGTTGTGTTCGCACGCTCTGCTTTGGCAGTCCGGGGTTCGTGGGTTCGATCCCGGGCACAGACCTGTGCACCGCTCAGGCCATGTGTGGTGGCGTCCCATGTACAAGGTGGAGGAAGATGGGCACAGGTGTTGGCTCAGGGCTAATCTTCCTCAGCAGAAAGAGGAAGATTGGTAATGCATCTTAGTTTGGAGCCAATCTTTCTCAACAAAACAAAACAAAATAAAACAAATTCACAAATGAGAAAACTGCATAAAATAAGTAAATACGTAAATAATAAAGCACAAACTGGGTACTGAGTACTGGCTAAGGGAATACAAAGTCTAGGTCAGATCAGAATAGAGTGAGATTAGTGAGGGAATCTTTCTGGAAGAGATGAATTGTAGGCCAGGGCTTCAGGGAAGTACAAGCAGTTGCCTATGTCATTTTGTCTCCATTCATCCACCTGGGGGGTGCAGAAAGAGTAACTGTAAATTTATAATGACTTGAAATTTCCATGTGGGTAAAGTGACTTTTTGGGGAGTGGGGAATTTTTGTTTTCTGATGAGTCTCCATGGGTAATAGAGGAGCCTCGAGACACAGATATGGGGCAGTGCAGGCAGGAGCCAGCATGAGCAAAGGTACAGATGGGAAGAGTGCTTGTATGCAGGTCTGGCACGGTGGGAAAGGCAGACCTTGAGGGGAAAGCCAGCAGTGAACTTGGTTGAATTGGTTAGAACCCCCACTTAACAAACCCTCAGACCTCCTCTCTGTCTTTGTAGAAAGCTGCAACAAAGTTCACTTCCACCTGCCCTACCGGTGGCAGATGTTAATTGCAAACACCTGGACGGACTTCCAGCTCATGGAGAATATTGAGAAGGCCTACTGTGACCCCAAAATCTGCATGTAAGTTGGTGGCTGGACTCTGGCTTGTGAGATCCACAACATCATCAAAGGAAAGCATAGTGCTGGGCTTGTGGGAAGGAGAAAAAACAATTTTCCTTCAAATCCTGTTCAAGTTTGAAATAACTCTTGAGATAAAATGGCAAATGCCTGCTGAGCTAATGAAGAAAAAACATAAGCCGAGTAGATTTGCAGTCACTCAGAGCCTGGCTAATACTAGGGACTCTGGGAATATTTGCTAACTCAAGTGAAATAAACAGTGACACAGTTATTTGTTTAGTTAATATTTGTCAATGTGTCCTGCAGAAAAACACAATGTAGAGGTTGGTTTGTAATCCCATCCCCTCGTCATAGGACTATTAAACTAAATGATTCCTAAATGTACTAAATGATTAACTCAAAAGAGTCTTTGGCTTAATTTCATAATTTTAGGACGTGATTTGAGTAAATTCATACGGTCTAGTGCAGAATTTTATTGTACACTTCAGCATTTTATACCTGCCTTTATGTTTGTTAATTTCTCTATCCTGGAGGTATCTAGGAGGATATCTTACATTTCTGTTCCTGTCAGGGCTGAAATGGGTGATACCCCACATGACCGTATCTGTAAGATGCATCCTAGTGTTAAAAGAAAATTCTTTAGGGGAAAAAATTACATACATTTCATTGTCTGCAAATTTAGTGAATTTTGGGTGGGGATTTTGTGTTGCTGCATGTTGCCACTAGAGGGAGGCACCAACTGTTTTCCTGTTTCCAGGTGTATTTTTTTTTCCCCCTCAGTAAACCTGAAGCAGGGTTTCTCGGTCTTAGCACTACTGATGTTTTGGACCAAATAATTATTTATTTGGGGGGAGGATCGGTTTACGGGCATCCCTGGCCTCTATCCACTAGATACCAGTTGTGGTAACCAAAGATGTCTTTAGTCATTGTCAGATATCCCCTGCAGGGGTCAAAATTGTTCCTGGTTGAGAACTGCTCATCTAGGAGGTGTTCTTAGAGCAGTAATTCTCAAACCTTTTGGTCTCAGGACCCCTTTACACTCTTAAAATGTATTGAGGATCCCAAAGAGCTTCTTTTTATGCAGATTATAGCTATCAATACTTATTATGTTAAAGATCAAAACTGAGAAAAACTAAATTTTTATTGATTCATTTAAAAATAACAATACAGTCACGCATTGCTTAACAACAGGGATACATTCTGAGAAATGTGTTGTTAGGCAATTTCGTCGTTATGTGAACATCATAGAGTGTACTTACACAAACCTAGATGGTATAGCCTACTACACACCTAGGCTTATGGTACTAATCCTATGGGACCACCATCGTATAGTTGGTTCGTCATTGACTAAAATGTTGCTCTGTGGCGCATGACAGTAAACTCATTACTTGTTAGCATAAATAACATTTTTTTAATTGATGTCTTAATAGTTTATAACATTGTGAAATTTTGGTTGTACATTATTGTTTGTCAGTCACCATATAAATGTCTCCCTTCACGCCTTGCGCCCATCCCCTAACCCCCTTGCCCCTGGTAACCACCATACAGTTGTCTTTGTCCATGTGTTGGTTTATATTCCACATATGAGTGAAATCATGCAGTGTTTGGCTTTCTCTCTGTGGCTTATTTCACTTCACATAATACCCCCCAGGTCCATCCATGTTGTTGCACATGGGACGATTTTGTCTTTTTTTATGGCTGAGTAGTATTCCATTGTATATATGTATTCCACATCTTTTTTATCCAGTCATCAGTCGAGGGACACGGGTTGCTTCCACTTCTTGCCTATAGTGGATAGTGCTGCAGAGAACATAGGGGCGCATAAGCGTCTTTGGATTGTTGATTTCTGGTTTGTTGGATAGATTCCTAGTAGTGGGATAGCTGGATCTTAGGATATTTCTATTTTTAATTTTTTGAGGAATCTCCATACTGTTTTCCATAGAGGCTTCACCGGTTTGCATTCCCACCCGCAGTGAATGAGGGTTCTCGTTTCTCCACAACCTCTCCAACATTTGTTACTTTTTGTCTTGGTGATTATAGCCATTCTAACGGGTGTAAGGTGATATCTTAGTGCAGTTTTGATTTGCATTTCCCTGATGATTAGTGATGGTGAGCATCTTTTCATATGCCTATTGGCCATAAATAACATTTTTATATAACTATATTTATATAATATAGTTATATGCATATAACTGTATATTTGTATAACTATAAAAATAACTGTATTTTCCAAAACAAAACAAAACAAAAAAATTCATTGAGAGGAATGACATTGTTTTGTATTTCTGCAAATCTCTTTAATCTGTTGTGAATTGGGCTGGCCCCGTGGCTTAGCGGTTAAGTGTGTGCGCTCTGCTGCTGGCGGCCCGGGTTCGGATCCCGGGCTCGCACCGACGCACTGCTTCTCTGGCCATGCTGAGGCCGTGTCCCACATACAGGAACTAGAAGGATGTGCAACTATGACATACAACTATCTACTGGGGCTTTGGGGGGAAAATAAATAAATTAATTAATTAAAAAAAAAAAATCTGTTGTGAACTCAAACATTATGTAGCCTCTGGAAAACTCCATTGTTCACCTGTGAGAGTATGAAAGTAAAAAAGGCAAATAATGTCTTAATAGTATTATGAAAATAACTTTGACCTTGCTGGCTCCCTGAAAAGGTCTTGGACCACACTTTGACAACTATTTACATAAGAATAATTAAAAAAACTGACCTACTATGAGTTTCTAATTCACTTTCTAACATTGAGCCTGTCAGTTGTTTTCTGGGCACAGTTTTATTTTGGGATATTTTTTGAGGGAAGAATACATTTTGTGACACCATTAAAAATGTAGGGTAGGGGGGCCGGCCCCGTGGCTTGGAGGTTAAGTGCGTGCGCTCTGCTACTGGCGGCCAGGGTTTGGATCCCGGGCGCACACTGATGCATCGATTCTCTGGCCATGCTGAGGCTGCGTCCCACATACAGCAACTAGAAGGATGTGCAACTATGACATACAACTATCTACTGGGGCCTTGGGAAGAAAAAGGGAAAAAAACGGAGGAGGATTGGCAATAGATGTTAGCTCAGGGCTTGTCTTCCTCAGCAAAAAGAGAAGGATTGGCATAGATGTTAGCTCAGGGCTGATCTTCCTCACACACACACACAAAAATGTAGGGTAGGCAAGTTACCTCTCTGTATTTCAGTTTTTTCTTTCATGTGTAAGACCTTGATCTATATAAAAAAAATTTGAAGATCTTTTTCAGCTCTAAAATTTTAATTCTGTGCTCTTGTTAGGGACGACCAGGGTATAGAAAACAGTGGTCAAGGAAGCATTTTGTTAACTTTAAACTTTTCCCTCTCAGCATTCCTATTGGAAATCAGATAATCAACTTCCAGACAATGACTTGTGGTTTTAATCCCATCCGACGTATCTCCACACCTTCATCTGTCACAATGCCAGCTGATTCTGTCTTCACCACAAAATGGATTTGGTATTGGAAGAATAAATCGGACAAATGGGTTCAATATGGGGAGAAGGTGAGTATCCTACCACTTTGTGGAGGCTCTTGTTTAAACTTGCCAACTTCAGAAGAAAACTGTTAATAAAATGTTTGATGCCTATGTGGTCACCAATGGAGAGTGGATGGAGTAGAGGAAGTGGCACTCTTTTACTTGACACAGCTGTATTTGCATTTCTTTAGCAAGCACTTATTCTGATTATAACCTTAAACAAAAACGTACATTAATTATTTTTAAGGAACTCCTTGAGACATGACTGAGGTGGAACCTTGAGAGAGCTTTCTATGTATTGGTGCAAGTCATGTGTCCCTTAATGACGGGAATGTGTTCTGAGAAATGCATCGTTAGGCAATTTTGTCATTATGTGAACACTGTGGAGTATACCGAAGGGGAACAAAATTTGCCACCCCGAAATACATCTCTCTAACATGAGGATTATTTTAGGCTGATTATTTTTAAGAAACAAAAGACTCAGAATGTTTTTGTTATCTCCCCATTAACTGTGTAAAAGAATTTAGACTAAAAAAACCTGTCTCAGGAAGCACACTGTCACCTTAGCATAACATGAACTAGGTGGTAGACAGGGAGGAACCTAGAAAAGCCTTTTTGTTGGGCTCCTCTCTGTGTTCTTCTGTTTCTGTGTGGCAAAACAAACGCTTGTTGTCCAAAGGATTGCTCCTTTTCACCTATCTGTGAATTGCCTTCCTTCCCTTTGAAGTCACTGACTCTCCCCACCCCCAGCATCTTCTTTTGTCTTTAGCTGAGGATGGTATTTAAGGTGAGAGCTTTGGCCATTTTTGCAAGTTACTTGGTTTTCCTGGGTTCCTCCCGTGTATACATGTTATTAAACTTTTGTTTGTTTATCTCCTGTTAATCTGTTTTGTGTCAATTTAATTCTTAGAGCAGCCAGAAGAACCTAGAAGGATAGAGGAAAATTTCTTCCTCCCCTACAGTACTTATACAAACCTAGATGGTATAGCCTACTACACACCTAGGCTATATGGTACTAATCTTATGGGACCACCGTCATAAATGCAGTTCATCATTGACTGAAATGTCATTATGCAGCACATGACTGTACATAAATGTACAGAGACTACTACTGCTTCCAGCCAGAAAAGAAGGCAAGAGTGAGAAATCAGAAGACTGATATAGATGGTCACTAGGATGCAGTCAGAGTCTGGATTCAGATGGACTTGAAAGACTGGAACTAGAAGATTCTAGGCTCACCCATACAGGGACATGGTAATAGGGGATAGAAGTTTAGATAAGCAGAGCTTCTGTCTAGTGTCCCTTCCTCCCCTTGATTCACAGGATTAAAGAGTGAGAGAGAATGCTTAAGTAGATAATCAGAGTGTTGAGAAAGAGAAAATAAAAGCAAGATATTAAAATGAAGCCAAAGGGCCGGCCCCATGGCTTAGTGGTTAAGTGCGTGCGCTCCACTACTGGCGGCCCAGGTTCGGATCCCGGGCGTGCACCGACGCACTGCTTGTCCGGCCATGCTGAGGCCGCGTCCCACATACAGCAACTAGAAGGATGGGCAGCTATGACATACAACTATCTACTGGGGCTTTTGGGGGAAAAAAAAA